GCCAGGGCGGCCAGTCCCCACTCCTGAGCCCCTGGGCCTGCCAGGGCAGCCAGTCCCCACTCCTATGCTTTGAAACCAACAGTAAGCAGTGGTTACATGAATACAAGCACAGCAATCCCACCGCAGCGGATCTGATAACATGATGCCACTGACCAACTCATAGGCAGAAGATGGACATGGCACGTGTACACAGGATGAAGGGACAACTTGTGCCCTAGGCAGGAGTAAACGGGTGACTAAAGATTTCATCACAACACTCAAAACTACACATAACGTATAATGAACGGAAACTGATGAACTTTTCCACAGAGTGTTTTCTGATCATGAAGGAGCACTAGTGACTAAAACAGTAGCAGCAAAATCATGGGTAAAGAGGGGCCGTGCGTTTCTTTTAAACGAAGAAGAAACTGTCATGGATCCACATCAAGCGGTTCAGCGCCAGCAGTTAAAGAGGTCACCAGGGCGGGGCAGAAAGAGAATAAAGAAAAGCTTGTGCACTCACTGTATCAAACTAACATCATCCATGAAAAATTTAATTCGGAAAAACAAAGTAAAATCAACAGCGGCTTTGCCCTTTTTCTTTGGTTCTTCTTTCCATCCCTCCGGGGCCACTTTGGTTAATTTTAAGTCAGGATCAACAAAGAAATATTCATTCTCTGAAACAGAATGAGAAAGGCGTTCAGAAAGCATCAATTTTTCTTTCCTTTGATGTCTTCTTTTCAGTTTAATTTTCTATCAGAAGCACAGTGGGGCTCTGAGTACTGTGTATGGCTGGATTCATTGAGCATTGGTCTTTTTAAAACCAGGCTACATCAGACAGACCTGGACTCCACTCCCAGTCACATCAGTTACTGGTTGTGTGGATAAATTACTCTGCCACTCTAGACATCAATTTCCCTGTGGGAAAGATCAGGGCAATGGTGCTCCTGCACTATAGGGCTGTGGTAAACATCTAATGACAAAATGGATACGACATTGACTGGAGGGCAAGAATTAAAGCCCAGTGTGTCTATAAACATTAGCTATGATTTACTAACAGAACGGTTATTCCACAAATCTGATTTGTACACAATGTTTAAGAAATAAATAGCAATTCTGTCTCAAAAACATTTTCGGTAGGCACTATTACCTGGGTAGTTCAGCGGGAGGGCAAGCAAGTCCCAGGGCTCGGGGCAGCTCTATCCACCCGCTGGGCCACCCTGCTGAATTATGAACCAGGATCAAAAAAGTACTTAATGGGTGACTACAGAATAAGTTGTCTAATTTATTTACTAGTTTGCTTGCTTGCTTATTTATTTATTTTATTATTTAGGCTTTTCGAGATAGGGATTCTCTGTGTAACAGTCCTGGCTGTCCTGGAAGAACTGTTTATTTTTAAAGCTCAAGCATTAAAAAAAAACTCCATAGACACAGGAGCAGCCCCACAAACACAATGAAGGAACTGGGGGACGTTCCTAACTCCCTTCTGCTTCTCAGTGCTGGCCTGCCTATTTAATTACTCTTTCCCCAAATAATGCTCAGCACCATAAGGTGCAGGAGGCCGTCTTACTGCCAGCTTCCCATTCTGAACCCTGAGTTAGACAGGCAGTCACCTTTGAGGGTAGCCAGAGCAAACAAATGATGCTCTACTAAGCCAATGTGAGCCACCACCATGTCAAAGACATCTTTGCATACGGTCTTGGTGTCACAGGTGAGCTCAAGTCTCTGCCCACTCAGGAGCATTATGTTCACTTTCCTCCGGTGGTCTTCATTCTTCCCCTTCTTGTTCTATCATTGGGAAAAAAGTCGGTATTTGTTAAAAAGAAGCATTGTAACATTTAGACTTGCTTTTAGAGAACCAGTCAACTTATTTTCTAAGAGGGAAAGAAGTGGCTTAATACTTACAAGGATAGACCGTGGCAAATCCAAAGAAATAAACGGCTCAATTGTCATCTTCACAAACTCAGGGCCAAAGAAATTCTGCAGGTCACATAAATACAACGAATTATTTTTACTATTTATCCTAGGTCTTATTTTAAGAGGAAAACAGTGCAAGGATAAAGAAAACCGTACATCAGAATGAGGCCCTCCACGAAAATGTAGAAACGTTCAGCGAAGCACACTGGGCTCTGCTTATAACGGAAACGGAGCACACATCACACAACGTTTCTCTGTGCACATGCGTGTGTACATACTCATGTGGGTGTGCCAGACCATAAAGAGAAGCACAGGAGGGCTGGAGAGACGGGCCAGCAGTCGGGAGTTCGGGCTGCTCTTTGGGAGGACTGCAGCTCAGCACCCTGCACCCACACAGCAGCTCATGGCCGCTGTAACTCCAGTCCCAGGGATTCAGCGTGTTATTTTTGTCCTCTACTGGCACCCAGCTGCGTGTATTGAACAGGCATACAGGCAAGAAAACACCCATATTTAAGATGATGATGATTAACAGAATTTTAAGAGAGAGAGAGAGAGAGAGAGAGAAAGAGAGAGAGAGAATCAGTGCCAACATTCTGAGAATGACTGAGCAGAGGGATGGAATGTACTCAGAAACATTCCTGCACGTCTGAACTAACCTTGAGCTCTGTAACTCATCTCCTGATTTATGGGCTAACGAATTTCTTGTTATTAAAAAGTAACTACCCATTATATTGGAAAAACTCGGTTATTCTCGAGGATCATGCATATGTTACTCATGTTTTTGTTTTTGAAAAATATTTCTCCTGAGATGGGTTTACTATGCTGCCCAGACTGGATTTAAACTGCTAGACAATGATCTTGCTTCATCCTCCTGAGTAGCCGAGACTATAAGGCCACTACACCATGCCTGGCAATACATGCACATTTTATATGATGTTATGTAGACCAGGCTGACCATAGAATTGCTATGTCATTCAAGCAAGCCTAAAAGTCATGATCCTTCTGCCTCAGTCTCTTGAGTGTAGAGATTACAGGCATGTACCCACATGTGTAGGTATACATATTAAGTCATAAAAGTACAGTTAAGACACTCTAAATCTACCTGATGAAATAATGTTAGCAGCTAAATATTGATTCTAATATTAAACAAGATGCTTGAGCCCAATGAGAACTAATGTGGAATCTCAATTTCATCTACAGGCATCTTTAGGATATCTATACTAATTATAAACAACAATGGGTTTCATCATGACATCTCCATATATGCATATAATGTAGTTTGGCCCCAAAGCACACCTTATTACTCTATTTTTGTCCCCCTTCCCCAAAGCCCTTCTTCTCCCCAACTAGTGTTCCTTCTACTTTCAGATCTTTTATGAAAATCTGTTCTTTGTGACCGACTGTGTTTCACACAGGAGCGCCCACTGAGTCCAGCTAGTGTTTCACACAGGAGCACCCACTGAGTCTAGCTAGGACTGCACACAGGAGCA